TTGATCGAACATCGCAATAGATTGGGGTTTTGGACCCTTGAGACTATATGAATGCGGAGGAGTTGGAGCGGATATTAAATATTTTATGATCCAACATGGTTGTTTATATGTGGCGGAGTATGGTTTTAAGTATTATTCAGGAAGGACTTGGTACATGTTTAAGTATTATCATTTTGAAAACTTAGACGATTTTGACGAGGATATTCGTATTATTATTATTTTGTTGGATGATTCAACACTAATTTGGAAGCAACTCAACGATGAGCCTACTATATCATCTAGTCTATTGTATTATTATCTATGTGGAAAAGGAAATGGAAGCAGTGGAGACCCCTCATCATAGGGATGAAACTGATATTGATTATAGTGATGATGCTTCGAGTAGAAGGGTGGAGGTTGTCAGAATTGTTGATGATGATGATAGTAAAAAATACTTAGTGGGCAAAATAAACTTTAGTCCATTACTGTATGGACGAAAGCCTGAGGTGTATGGAATTAAAACATTTCTATTCCATGGTATGGTAGCAATAATACAAATCAAGATACACTTAGGCCCCGTTTGGTTCACGGAATGGATTTGAGGGGAAATCAATTCCCATGTCATTTCCCAAGGAATGGGAATGAAAGATTCATTTCCCACGTTTGGTAATGTTGGGAAAGTAACCGGGAGATTTCACTTTGTTTCCTTTCCCATGTTTGTTTTGAGTAGGCATGGAAAACAGAGTTTGTATAATTTTCCAATTATATCCATATTAAATCAAATAAAAAAAGAATGCATTTAATGATACGTTGTAATTATAAACTGTTCATAGGGACAAAATAGTCATGAAAATTGTGCATTGAATGTTGGCTCATTTTCCCAAACTTTCCCATGAGGAGGGAAAACAAAACCCAAGTTAAGAGGAGGGAATCACTTTCCCCCCTACTTTCCCATGTGCAAGGCATCTATTTCCCATGCCCGAACTTACCAAACATGGGAAAGGAATTGAATTCCCATTCCCAAGTCTCCTTTCCCATGAACCAAACGGGGCCTTAAAGTACAAGGAAATTGAATTTGCAACTAACTTCTTCACGTCAATCTCAGCAACTCACTAGTATATTGTGATGTTAGCCTTGAGGATTAACAAGGGAAGATTACTATTTGCCGGATATGTAATTAAAAGATGGTTCCAGCTCCTCCTCTTACGGTGGTCTTAATTCATTGCGTGCCATTCAAGTATTTCCAAACAACATAAGAATTTTGGTAGGATATGACCTTTGGTAGCATTCTTAATTTTCCTATTCACATCCACAACTTCTCTTTGCCTCTTGTTTAGTAGTTGGTTTCGTAAACCAACTTGAACTTTTTTTGGATGAAATATGACCTAGCGTTTGTAAGTTCATGTTAACATTCACTTCTCTATGTCTCTGGTTTAGTAGTTTATTACTTGTAGCAAACTTGATTGATGCTTTATTATATGGTAATGGTGGGATAAATTAAACATCATTTGGAGTGGCTTGGATAAAGGTTTGTGTATTGTTTTTGGAGGCTCTGGGCAAAAATGAAAAATGAGGCCTTTTTTGTTTAACACTTGCCTCATTTTGAACAAAAATTATAATAAAAAGTTTCAAACTTAGGTGGTAAGTAGGTTAGTTTAAGTATAAAAAAAAAAGGGGGGGGCTCATTATATGAAAGATAAAGAAAAAGACCCAAAAAAAATTCAAAAAACATTAGTTTCACACAAAAGGCTTTCTTTTTGTTGTTGCTAGAGCTTATGGAGTGGAGGTCTGTAGGAGGCCTTATATTTTCGCGGCCCTGTGCCGTCACCTAGCCTGCATACCTTGTGGGCTGAGCCAGGCTTGGCTACTAGATAGAAATATGGAAGCAGTTTTATTTCAATGCATTTAAAAAATTGCACGTATAAATGGAATGGGATATTTGGTGTGGCCCAAAAGCCTGCCTTGTGGACACCCAAACCTGGCACATCTATCCAGAATTATGCCCTGTGCCCCCATAAATTTATGTCCCATTTAATTGTGGCTTGGATATTCTAAGATGGCATTCCAAGAATGTATCCAATGATATTTGACCAAAAAAAGAAAAGAAAAGAATGTATCAATGATGTGAAAGATACTTTGAATTTGGAGCTCATAAACTTGGCTTTAGAAACAAAGCCCATGGACTAAAGAATTCGTGTAACAGTGTTGGGGAAGAATTCCTGGGATTTTTTGACATGGTACCAGGTATATGGTTCGGCTCTTGGGGCACTAGATTGTTAGAGATTGATCACGTGCAAAACACGATAAAGCTTTTAACTGAATGACATTGGAATTCCCGGTCAAATGAAATGAATTGATTGGTTCAGAGCCGGGAAAATCAAGGGATAGGAAAGAATCATATGTTTACGCTCAAACTTAACACGTGTACATAACTTGGTCAGCAAGAATATTAATTACCATATTTACTGAATTCTCACCGAAATTTCCGACATTTTTTCCTTTAAAAAAAATAAAAATAAAGATTTTATGTAAATAGTTATATAAGTTACAAGCGTAAACGGCGTCGCTTTGGTGACTCGGACGGACCCAGAGAGAGTTTGCCCGCAACACGCCGAATCAAGAAGAGATATAGATAGAGAAGACCACAAGTCTGGATTTCGTGTTCGAATCGGAAAGGAACCTCCAACAAGTCTCTTCCCCGATACTAAACCCTTAATTTATACGTTGTGTATATATAAATATACCATTCTTTGCCTCCAATAATTCTGTCATTCTCTGTTTGATTTTGACCCTCTCTCTTCTTTTCCCAGTCCTCAACCAATCAATTCATCAATCCCCAAAACCATAATCGATTCCCCTTTCGTGTTTGGTATGTTTTTTTCTTTCGTGCAAAACATAATTCTACATCGTTTTCTTGTCATACTTGTATTTGCTCTTGTTATACAATTTTTGGGTAAGAGGGACTTTTTGTGCGGTTGTGATGTTTCGTTGTTTGAAATTTGCAGAGAACAATCGCAGTGGGAGTTTCGCCATGGACAAAAACTCGTTCAAGCTTGACCATTCTCTAGGTTTGTTTTTTAGCTTTTGGTTAATTATATTATTTGTGCAATACACATATCCCTATTTTGGTTTCTTTTAGTATTTGGTGGTAGTCTTTGATGTCTACTTCATGAACCTGAATAATGGAGGCTGTTTTGCGGATAAAGTTTGCTTTTTTTCCTTTTGTCTTTTGATAAACAAAAGTTCGGCTTTTTATCCATTGCTTGTGTTTGGTATTATTTAAATTTTGGTATTATCTATTGCTTGTGTTTTATCCATTGCTTGTTTGATAGATGGAATTAAGTCGTGAGATTCTAAATAGTCCAACTTTTTTTTGCTAAAGGCTGAATTTTTTGTTTTTCTTCTTTGTGAAAAGATTGTCTGTTTAATTTTTTGAATAATTAGGGTTGTTTGATAACCATTTCAATTTTAGTTTTTAGATCTCATTTTTTGTGCTAGATTATAGAGGAAATTGATGGAGAATGAAAGTGAGAATGAGAGTGAAATGAGATTGAGAGGGAAGATGAGAGAGGGGAGGATGGGATGGATAAGTAACAAAAGTGAAAACAAAAACTAAAAACTGAAATCTATTTGAAATTTTTTTCACTTTTTTTACTACTCCCTCCCCTCCCCTTTCATCCTCTCTCTCAATCTCATCCTCACTCTTCATTCTCACTCTCATTTTTCTATATACTATAACACAAAAAATTAAAAATTAAAACTAAAAACTAAAATTGAAATGGTTATCAAACTGGCCCTTAGTTTTTTGTTGTCTTTTTTCAAACTTTTGTTTTTCTTATGTTTCTGCTCTGATGGTTTGGACTAAACTATTTCAGAAAGGAGACAAGCAGAAGCTGGTCGTATCAGGGAGAAGTATCCTGACAGAATACCGGTAAGAATTTTACTGGATCAAATATGTTTACCTCCTATGCATTCAGGGGATGCTCTGTTCTAATTTGAGTCTCCATGCAGGTGATTGTGGAGAAGGCTGCAAGGAGCAACATTCCTGACATTGACAAGAAAAAGTTAGTTGCCAATTCCCTTCTGCCTTAATTCTCTTCATATCTATGTTTCTTATATATCCTCTGTATTAGTACATTTTATGTTTGTATAGTGTAAGTTGTTCATTTTGAAGTGCACATGCGATGTGGTGGTTGTAGTCATGTCTATCTGATTTAGAATTATAACTTTTACTAAAAAGATTTGTGTTGAAGAGCGGTTTGGTTGGCATCTTAAATGAAGTTCTAGGAGTGGATAGGAATGGTCCTGATCATTGTTTTTGCATGAATTGGTTACCTAAGTAACTAAGTCTTCCTACCAAATATCTTTCAGTGTATAATAACATTTGCATACCTGATTGAAAATGTACTTATTAATAGAAAGGAAAACTCCAAGTTCATTGTGTTCATATAGCTCCTCTAAGATCAAGGGGTTCTTAACCGTGTGCTGCTATTTTGTTATTCTCTGCAGATACCTTGTCCCGGCTGATCTGAGTGTTGGACAGTTCGTTTATGTTGTACGGAAGAGGATCAAGCTTGAGGCAGAAAAGGCTATATTCGTCTTTGTCAAGAACACTCTCCCTCCAACTGGTCAGTTGCAATTCATTTGTTTTTAGTCATAAGATCTTGTTCCAAAGTTGTGGTCTTAATATTTCTTCCTATGTTACAGCTGCCGTGATGTCTACCATTTATGAGGAAAACAAGGATGAAGATGGATTTCTTTACTTGACCTACAGCGGAGAGAATGTCTTTGGTTCCTTTTAAAGCAAGACTGTAAATAGAATTTAGCAAATGTAAATTATTGGCATTAACATGATGATGGAACTAATTATTATTTTATTTTATTGAATTTCTAGGGATTATAATGCATGGGTTTTAACTAATTTGATAAATTTCCAGTTATGTTTGTTTCTAATGGTCGTTACTTAGGATTGAGATTGTTTTGGATGAATTAGGCATGAAATAAAGTTGCTTGAAACAATGTCCAAAAAAGTTGCCTGAAAAAAGAAAAAGAAATCAGAGACCCGTCCTGGCCTTCAATCAATGGCATACAATAAACAATTGACAACAAACAATTGACTTCCAGATATATGATGGCTCTGGATACAATCTATTAAGGTTGACAATTTAGTTTACTGGTTTAGACGGCTTTTTTTTCTGGCACTGATTTTTGATCCATTTGATACCATTGGATGTCCCATTTTTTATCTTTTCTGCGCCAGCCATTGCAGCCACCTTGGCTTTGCCTAATCCAGACTTGGTATCTGCCTTCTTGTTGTTGCTGCTGTTTTCTGTGGCTTTGGTGTTGTCTCCATCCTCCAGGGCACCGATGCCACCGGCACCCCATTGGTCGGCCCACCCTGGTGCTTCTGTTGCCATTCTCTCAAAGTCTTCAACCACCCTGTGTTCCATAAACATGTATAATAATTTAAGGGGGATACAAATTTACCATCACCAACCATCCAAAATGAAAAATGAAATCCATATATCTAAAGTTGAAGTCATAGCAACTCAAAGGGAGATCTAAAGTGTTTATATAATTTCAACCAATATGAAATGTTAGTGTAGAAAACTCTTTACAGACGAAGGCAAACCACATTCAAAAGATGCAGAGACATCTATCTGGTTTTCACATTTTCTTTGATTACCAGTGGAAGATGGATCTGAACTCATGGAATCTAAGAGTTTATAGGAAGCTTTTGTATCAAATCAAGAAGATTTGCAGGCAAACCATAACTCACCACATCATCCTCTATGAATGCAAAGAAATAGACTTCAACAACAACAATTAACATACCAAGGCTATGCTGGTAGCAAACAAACAGAGGATTTAAACCCTTCAAACAGCAAATCAAGATAGCCATTATTTCAGAGAGAGAGAGAGAGAGAGAGAGAGAGAGGGTACCAGGTTGTAGATAGCGTGTAGATTGGTGGAGTTAACCAAAAAGCACTAGCGAGTTGCAGTTGTATTTAGAGACCTTTGAAGCTGCTCAATAAAAGAAACAAGGGACCACATGGGATGGGTGGGCTGTCTGTCACCTCAATATATACACCTTTTTTAAAGGACTTGCCAACTCACTGGTTGGTTTCCATCCAGTGAAGCAAAGCATCGTTTGGCATTTTCCCTTCATTGTGCTATCAACAATCATCACCACCATTACCATTCTAGATTCCTAGACGTGCAGAGGTGTAGGCAGAGAGGCAGAGCATCTTTTTCCTTAACGAACAAGGCATCTCAGTTCTCAACTCAAGACGCATCATCTCATCCCAATAAGCTCCATAGCGCTTCGGGGCACATAGACATCTCAAATGAGCCCCGTAGTACTTTGGGGCACGCAAATACCCCAAACGAGGGGTATTTGCTTTTCTGAGTTTAGCTGGTCAACCAAATGTGCAAATGCTCAATAATTGACTGCTTCAGGTGTAGGATAATGAATTCAAGATGACCAAGTCATTTCCATATCTAATGTGAATTCTTATATCCAACATAGCTAATTTGTTTTACCCTTTGGTCGCTGCATTGCCTTCACATCAGCCAAGCATTCAAGACCATAGATTTGGCCCATTTGGGTATTATTATGAGTGAACAAGAATCTTTTGTACTGTGTTTGTATGTCATCACTCCCTTGGCTCCAAGCCTGTCACGGAACTTTCAAAGACAATCGGCAAACCAGTTCTGTCAGGAGACTTGTGTTGTGTTTTGGAGTTAGGCACACAATTGATTAAAAAATGAATACTTAGCAAAGAGAAAAACATGATCAGGTGACTAATTGCTCCAAATAAAACAAAACTATGGGATCAACAATTTTACTAAATCAATACAAAATTAATTGGTCTCAAAATCCGTTGGAAAAACATGTTGCTTGATTGTAGCTTCACTTCTGAAGAGAGAGAGAGAAATGAGTGAGGGGAGCCCAACCTTGATGGACAAATTGTCTTGGGCTTTGACATTGGAGTGCAGATAAATTGTTGATCAGTTGGAGGGAGCTCATCCAACTCTGTGAGAACCACCGGCATTACCATAAGGTGAGCTTAGTTGTCCGAAAGTCAATTACCGACAAGAATATCATTTTATATCAAATCAAATATAATAGTTTGGTTTCCTCTTAGTCCTCTTACTCTCTTTCAAGTAAAATTTCCATGAAACATGTGAAGAAAGATGAAGGAGTATGAAACACGGAAAAGGTAAGTTTTTCTCCTCTCTTTCCTCTCCTAACCGTTAAGACCGGGAACACGCCATGGCGAAAAAGCAAACACATTGGAAAGAACGCAGAGATTTCGAATGCAATTTGAGTTGTGTGACAAATGAAATTTAGGCCCAACCTAAGAAAATAAATCTAGAGACCAAAACCAAAAGAGAGAGAGTACAAATTACAATGTAGTACAAATTTCGTGTTGGAAACTTGAAATGTTTTAAGTTTTGCTCTTTATCTTTAGGGTTCTTTATGACTAATGGTCTTCAAAGGAAAGTAAACAAGTGCTGTCGAGAGAGAGAGAGAGAGAGTACTTTAGCCACCATAACTGTTCTAGTTTGGGGACAAATGATTTGAAGACTGAGCAAACGGCAAACAGGTGACATCACTGGCATGAGTAATTAGTCCCACAGAAGACAACACAAAATTGGGGATTAACAACTTTACTAAATCAGTCTACATCATTGGATTGGAGCCCAAACCCAAAAATCTTGTTGCGGCCCGCAACTCTATTAAGTTAATTAACCAAACTCCATTTAGAAAATGACTGAAGATTAGATGGCCATATCTACAATCATCTTATATATGCAACTTTCAGAAAAACAAAAAAGCACACGAATGACGTAACTCCTCATCAATCAAAATCTATCTATCTATCTATCTACTAATTTCCATAAATTTCTTGGTGTCAAATTCAATTGGGAAGATTACACAAGTCACTTGGATCTCCTGATGGACTTGGATTTCCTCATCTTGCGAGACTTGTCCTCGATACTTGTCCACGTATAGCCACTAGGAATGGAAAAAGGGTCGGACGAGTCTTGCACCGCTGGTGGAGCACCGCGTTGAGCTTGGTGGTTCTGCTTGCTCCCCGACCCTGACTGGCTACTGCTCCGCCTCAGCCACGACGTCGACGTAGACGACAAGGATGATGGTTTCTGTGACTTGTACTTGTGCTCCTCCTCCTCCTCCTCCTCCTGCTGTAGATGTTGGTGCTGGCCTCGTCCTTCATGGATAAATTGTCTGGGGCTTGACATTGGAGTGAAGAACTGCTCTGTTGGCGGGAGCTCGACGAACTTTGTGAATGTTATCACCACTCTCACTGTGGGGACAACCGGTATTGCCACCTGTCCGACACCAAACAAAAACCATAAGCTAAGCTAGGTTTGTCCATATACTCAAGTAACACATGAATTTTAAATCTAATAGTCTGCTTTGGTCTCCTACACAAATCCACACAATCGGCAGTTAACCGTTAAGACCGGGAACATGCCACGTCAGCTCTCCATGGGTTCTGTTGACGTGGCGGAGTCAAGGGTCAAAGAAACTGTATTATTATTAGAGTTTCTTTTGTTTGGTCATTTGCCTGAAAATGGTGGGTGGTCAGCAAAATAATTGGGCCCACAACCAATGCCTGCCTGTAAAGATTGGGATTCTCGGGATGGTCCGGGTCTCACTTTTACCACCACCGTCGGATGACGAACCCGACAATCGTAAGCATTACAAGTCAGATCACCGACCGTGGAGGCCCCCAAAAAAAGCTCCAAAACGTATGATATATCATCCAATGGTGTGATGAGAAAACGATGAAGCTCTCACTTGTGGGATCCACTAAAGGCGTGAGACTGACTGTATGAGTGAGGCCACAGTTTCTCAATTGTCACAAAAGCTCAAGTCAGCTCTCGTTGCTTAAACAGCTTAAGGCTCTCTCATCAACCATAAAAAGCACCAAAAAAGCAAAGCAAAGTACAGACAAAAATAGAAGACCCATGACCCCACACAGGCAATTAAACCCCACCCAATCAAGACTGGGCCCCAATTAGTTCGAAATGTCCAATTTGTCCTTACCTTCACCGGAAAAGATCCTGGCGGGAACTTGGTGGTCAGCAACTCCCTCATCCTCCTCACTGCCTTCACTTTGTTCGCCAGAATGTCGAGTAACGGCAATAGCTCCTCCGTCTTCAGCGGAAACTGCTCCGTTAACCATACAGACGGCCTCAAGCTCCTCACGTACTCTTTCTCTTTAGTCTGCACCGGCGCCGCAGCCATAGGCCTCATTGGCGGAGCTGCCGCCATAGGCCTCATCGGCGGAGCTGCCGCCATGGACCTCCTCGGAGGAGCTGCCGCCATGGACCTTCTCGGCGGCGCCGCCATTGACCTCCTTGGCGGCGCCGCCGCGGCCATTGACGATACGTCCACGCTTTTTCTTCCCAATGCCGCGAACTCCCTGTCTTCCCTCACAAAACTACTGTGCCTCCGACCGTCCGGAATTCCAAAGCTTGGATTCTCCGCCACTAAAAACCCATCGTCGTCTTCGTCTAGCTCAAGAGGAAGCACCTGCTCGCTCCCTGCCACGTCAGCATCTCCATTGGCGACTTTTCTCGGGCGGAAGCTGAACAACACGTTGTGAATTTCAAAAACTCTAGCTTTCCACTCTCCGACGCTCTCCGTCTTCTCCTGCCTTCTCCAATTGGTCCTTCCAACGAGCTCGGCTTTGGTCACGTCCATGCCGGGGCGATACACGCTCGTTTGGGAGCAGAAACCGGCAATATCGGACTCGCTCATCGGAGACCCTGCGTTCTCGAACGCGTCGAAGATTTTCCGATCGTCGCGATTCAAGACGAGTAACGATCCCGAGGGAACATCGTGGCTTTGATCGCCGTCGCCGAGGAAAAGGAAGCTCTGATCGGCGCGCTGGATCTTCAGGCCGTCGAAGCCGGCCAACGACGTGTCGGCTCGCAAGTTCCCGTCGCGCTTCCAGATCTTGTACGTATCGGAAGGAGCGATCTTACCGACGAAGGGAATGACGGAGCTTTCGAAGTGGAACGAGATCTCCATGTAAAAGTCTCGCATTCTGCGGAGCACGGCAATGACACGTGGAAGGCGGCGGCGCCACTTGGCCCAAGCGGAGCGATGATGGAGCCGGAGGAGAATTAGAGCTATGTCGGAGCTCCGGCGACACAAGGCTTCCTGCAGGGGGTTCCAGCCGGCGGAGTTCTGGAGGGACACGTCAGCGCCAGCGGAGGCTAGTATTTTGGCGGAGACGGCGTCGTTTAGTCGGACAGCGAGGTGGAGGGGCGTTTCTCTGTAGGGGACGTCGCGGCGGTCGAGTACGGCCGAGATCTGGTCGGCGGTTCGTTCATGAGAGAGCGAGTCGGACTCAGTATGGATCTGAGTGGGATCAGCGAGTCGGGGAAGGGCGGCGACGATTCGGGAGAGAGTGGTGTGGTCTGCTAAAACGACGGCGTAGTGGACGGGGCTGTGGGAATAGTCGTCGGGTTTGAGGGGCGGACACGAAGTGGTAGAAGGGGCCGACGATTTGGACATGGTTTGCGTTGGGTGCCTCCGTTACTGCGTAAGGAGGAGAGTAGAGTTTTGAGTGTGTGTTTAATTGGATAAGCAAAGGGAAATGGAATGTTATGGGAGAACGAGAAGAGGAGGGTGGAGTGGCAGTTTCGTCATTTGGGTTTCGAAAACCGTACTGCTCAACGGCACGGCTTTTGTTGATTCTAAGCTTCTGGCGAGGGGTCGGGGATATTTCTTTCCATGTAACTACTTTTTCCTCCTCCTCCGTTTCTTTTGTTTGGTTTTTTCTGGACGTCCTTTGAATTTCTGTCTTTTTTCATCAAGTTTAAGTAAATTACAAATTCACGAGATATACAGAGGCAGCTTTTAAATAAAAAATTGCAAAATG